ACAAACCCTCTTGTCGATTTCTTCAATGATTTCCATATGGTGAGGAAGAAGTTTCCACATCACCTGCAGGTAGATGGCCAACGAGAGAAGTCACTTTTTCATTTCCAAATGAAATTGATCAACAGATTATAAGAGGTAGTAAAGGATTAGTGGATCAAGGGCTTAACAAATGAGCAGGACTTAATGTTGTTTCTGAATAATGAGAACCCAAGTGGAACTCAGGTTCACATTGGGGGCAGAGAGAAGATACAAATGCTTAACGCTTGTTGAAATTTGTAGCAATTTACAAGTTGAAATTAAGCCTAGATTATTGTTTATCTTCACTTATTAAAATTTGTAACAATTTACAAGTTGAAGTTAAACCGAAGTAATACTTAACGCTTGTTGAAATTTGTAGCAATTTACAAGTTGAAGTTAAGTCGAGATTATTGTTTATCTTCACTTGTTGAAATTTGTACCAATTTACAAGTTGAAGTTAAGCCAAGATTATTGTTTATCTTCACTTGTTGAAATTTGTGGACAATTTACATGTTAAGTTAAACTAGTATGATGTTCAACATCTACTAAAAGTTTACAAGAAATTTGTCTATCCAAGGTATGTCACCCCGAGAAGATTGCACAAAGAAGGAAGAGTACATAAGACATACGAAATATTCTAAGTATATAATCATGCAAGAACAGTTAAAAGAAGACAAAGATACAAGCATTCACTGAATAAAAATTGTGTTAAGCATTCAGTTGAAACAGGAAAACATCGGCCATATGAAAAAGCATACATTGTCTAAGGAAACAAAACAGTATAAAAGACAAAACAGGAAAAACATGAAAATTAAGCTTCATCGGCATCAACAGCAACTTGGGTTTAGACCTCGGAAGGTTCTGAAAGAGCTACCTCGGCCGCCTTTTCCTCCGCGATCTCAGCATCAATCTGGGCAAGGGTATCATCAATGCTTTTTTCGGCTACAGGAACATCGGAGGATGCCTGCTCTGGGGTAGTTTCCTTGACAACTCCATCGCCCTCTTCATCTTGAATCAAGTCTGGGACTTGCTCAGTTGAAGGAAGGGATTTGGACGCAGTAGCCTCTTTCTTCCCTTTTCTCACCAAGGCATCGTCCTCTTCCTCATCACCATCTTCAGACTTAGATTCGCCAATATCTTGACATGAAGATTGAGCTGGAGGGAATGAAAGAGGGATAGCATCGGCTTTCCTCAATGGTGAGTCCTCAGGAACATTGAGTTTTTTCAAAAGAGACATCCAACTAAGGGTGAAATTCTTGTTGCATGCCTATTTCACTTGAAGTTCATAGGCCTCAGTAACGGCGGTCATGCCTTGAGTATACGCCTTTTCATCAGCTTCTTTTATTTCGACGTCCTTGGTGGCCAGGGCTTCCTGAAGCTCCTTTTTGGCCTGGGCCATTTTTTCCTCAGCTTCTCTCTTTTGAGACTCAGCCACTTTTCTGATGGCCTCAGCAGCCTCAGCCTTTTCTTCGGCATTGTTCTGAGCTTTGATCGCAGCCTCAGCTTGGTCCTCCAATTTTTTCATCTTTGCTTGTAAAACTTTGTTAGTCTTTTGGAGGGAAGAGAACTCCCTCTTCATCTCGACAAGCCTCTCCTGATTCTCAAAAGACTGCATTGAGAAAGAGTGGGCATGCTGGATGGCCTGAAAAAAAAAACAGAGGTATTAGAGAATATTCAAAGTATGAAATAAAGGGAAGGAAAGAAGAAAGTTACCACATAGAAGACATTTACCTGAACGGAGTGCTGAAGCATTAAAGCGTAGTTCTCATACTCACTATACTGGGCGTTTCACTCCAGATCGCTTAGAAGAAGCAGAGCGGTACTGAGTGCGATGCCGACGTTTATATCATCGGCGCTATCACTTGCCATGACAGGCTTGTCTTCTAGAGTAATTGTGGGGGCCCATGGGGCATCAAGCTTTTTTGATTCCGAAGTTGTTGCAAAAGAAGACCTCGGCTTTTTTGGTTGTTGTGATTCTAGTGGTTAAGACTCAGAGCACCTCTTCCCAGCGGAAGGCTGAGATTTATCACTCTCAGCCAACTTTGAAATAGGCAGAGTGTCTTCAGACTCAACCTGAGCTACCTTGGCCTTTAGTTGAGCCTTTTTTATTCTTTTTGGCTTCGGTGGAGGAAGGGTTTGTGTTGGCTGCTCATCAACAGATGATGGAATACTGGCCAAAAGATCTTTTGCAACAGGCTTAGGGCGACCCATCTCGGCAGTAAGGACAAGTCGTCGCCGACGTTTTCGTTCTGATATTAGGACCGGGTATGGAGCCGAAGTTGATGGTTGGTCAGCTGGATTAGATGTTGATCCTTAATCTGTTCGTGATGTGGATGCAGTCAATGAAGTTGTAGCAGAGGGTGGAGAAAGGCTTTTCTTCTTCCTTTTGGAAACATCGGGCAAAGTTGACTTGTATGATGGAATGAAATTAAGAAGCACAGGCGCTTTCCTTTTATGGACTAGCAAGTCCAAAAGTTTCTTCAAGTCCTTGCTAGAGATAAAGGATTGCCGAAAATTTTTCGGTGACTGACGAACAGCTGCAAGAAGAACAGACGTCAGAAACAGACAAAGTATTTAAGACTTCGAAAGAAAACAGGCAAAGATGAATACTGGGCTCTTACCCTTGCCCTCTAAAACTGATCGGGGAAGAGGGTAGAGATGGATGTCCTCGTATGGTGCAAACTCCCAATTTCTCGAGGTAATGAGATAGTCATCTCCAGCCCCCTTGTTGGAGTTTGGGAGGTCGGCTACGATTTTGAATTCTGTAGACCTCGACTTAAGGTAATAAATGTATTTGGTGCTTTTGAGGCGCTATGTGATGATACTTCCTCTTTAAGTACAAAGATCCATGTCTTTTTATGTTCTCTAATCGTCCAATACAAAATCGTGAGTCTCACCTCGTTCATCAATCACAACATCCTTGAAGTAACCACTTGGCGGTGTTCTAAGACTAACCAATAACTTTTTCTATGAGAGGGAGAAAAGAAAAGTTAAGATGCAAAAGTGGGAGGGACATTTTAGTAATTTCAATGGTCAATTCCACCTCTTTGTGACCATTTTATTTTTAGAGATCACAGCATTTTTTAAATATTAAATTATGGGATCAACTTTCCTCTAGTTTATTGACAGGACCCGAACCCCGCCCTATAATAGTTTACACTTAATTAATTAATTATAATCTTGACGTGTATTTTGGAGTCGTTACATTTACTAATTAGTGTTGTGAGCCCACTTTAAACCTATCTAAAAGATAACAACGGTTAATAATGGTAGATAATTTTATTATTTACACCTTTGATAATTTTAAATACTCAACTCCTTTTATCTCATGCCTATCCATATTTTTTCTTACTTCATAGGGCCACTTCCATAACTTTTCTTTGATGCAATACTTTAATGATCACTTTAGTTTTTAGCCTCAAATTTGCTCAATATCTGGAAAAGACACAAAAAACAGAAAGCAAGAATGGAATTTCAGAATCAAGAACAGAGATGGTTTATCAAGAGCATAAAGAATACAAGAAATACAGGGCCAAGATTAGTGACAAAGATACAGGGAAGTAGTGAAACAATGCGTGTGTTCAAAATATGGGCAAGGGCAAAATCATGGGAAGGACACAGTCAGATGTATGAATCGCAAATTAAAAGTTTCAACAGATGCAGTAAAGGCAACAAGTAATGAAGAATATCAACAGAATTGAAAACGAAAGGAACAGTAGCTTACCAGAAAAGAGTGAAGCCGGTATGAAGATTGCCGAAGTCAGACGACAGTTACAGATGTAACGAGAACGACGAAAGCTTCAACAGGAAGGGAGAACGGAAGACAATTGCAGAGCTTAGAGCTTGAGCAATGGCAGATTCGAAAGAAAGAGTTTAGAGAAAGAAAAAGCAAGAGAAATCAGATGCAAAAGTAGAAAAATAAAGAAAGGGAGAAAGGTTTTGTCAAAAATAAAAACGACGGCAAAAAAATAATCAATACGCCTAAAAGAACGTATACGTCAAACGGCGCACGTGAGAAAGAGACGGCTTATGAATGCGTCACAAGTACAAACCAGTAAGAAAGAAACGCGTGGTTAAAAACAGTTGAATTATGGTGTATGACAGCTCATACGCGTGAAAGGGTTCTTGAAATTCTTGTTCTTCAATAAACGGATATCGGCCAAAATAATGATCTCGGCTGAGATACTGAAAACCAACGTACTGGAAAAACAGAATGATATAGGTTCCATCACCTCAGAATGCCGAGGTAATAGAACCTAGGGGGCAGTTGTGGGGATATATTTTCTGAGTACCAACACGTGGCAAGGTGACGCCGACGTGTCAGCCGAGGTGCCACGTGTCCTGGTCGTGACGCCGAGGTTATCTCGGCAAGGCCGAGGTTATCTCCGAAGATATTGAAATTCAAGATAAGAGGATAAAAGATAAGGGACAAGAGTCCTAGAATAAAGAGGAGATTTAGCCAAGATGAGAATAAAGCTCTTAGGGAGTTTATCTTTATCTCTTAAGGAGTCCAAAGTAAGTACTGAATTGGAGTTCATAGAAGTGAGGCTTCTAGTGGGACTAGGATTAAGTAAACTATAAAAGAGAGGTACCCCGTGGGTCTAAGGTATACATTTTGTGCTTTGAGTAGTGAGTTTAGCACTTGATTATCTTTGAGAGATATACTGACTTGATCGTCGGAGTGCCCCCGGGTGGAAGAGTCACCGTCGGAGCCTTTTCTTTCTGTTACAGGTTAACTGAAGCCATCTATTCTGCTACTGAATTGGAGTTCATAGAAGTGAGGCTTCTAGTGGGACTAGGATTAAGTAAACTATAAAATAGAGATACCCCGTGGGTCTAAGGTATACATTTTGTGCTTTGAGTAGTGAGTTTAGCACTTGATTATCTTTGAGAGATATACTGACTTGATCGTCGGAGTGCCCCCGGGTGGAAGAGTCACCGTCGGAGCCTTTTCTTTCTGTTACAGGTTAACTGAAGCCATCTATTCTGCCAGTGCTCTCTAGCTGATTACTAAACGGACAGTGTGGTCAGAAAATTACTCACACAGGACCCAAGCCTAAAAATCAAATTAATACAACAAAAACTGAAAGATAATCTTCAGACACAGGTAAACTGAATCAAATTAAAATGAGTCGCACTGTTTTCTTTCTTCTTGTATAGACTGGAAAATCCGAGCTGTAGATTCAGTGGCAGATCTAGCATTGCGAGGCACGACTTTAATCACTCTTGTTGGTTGGCAAGTGTCTTGGAGCTCTGCGGATCCCTCTGCAAAGTGCACAACTGGTATTGGAGAAGTTGGGAAAAGTGTAAGCACATTTCTTCTTTTGCTACCAAATTCTTGAGCTCTCTCACCGGAGCTACTTGCTGTACTGCCTAAAAACTCACTCTCACTAGATGCAGGCTGCTTAACGTCGTTTGAAATTGCTCCACTCTTCTGGGTTGGCACATTACACGAGTTTTGGTGTAACTAGCCAGGTTGATTTGCTTGTTCAACAGCTGAGCCTGAGATACCCATCATAGGATTTGACCCCGGATGCCCACAACCTCTGCAAACCGGGCCCAGGAGTCCGTGTCCGGGATAATATGGCTTGTATATTAGTCCTTCAGAAGGGGACATTACCAGAACCAACCATTGGTGCCCAGGTGATTGATGGAAACCCCAAGGACTAACACCTTGTTCTGAAAATAGTCTGTAGTTTGAAGGCTGACTAAAATTTTGCTCAGAAGAACAAAATGTCTTTCTAACACCGTTTTCAGCCAAGCATTCCATCTTACGATTTGGGTTCCTGGAATCATCTTTATGCTTCACAATATGAGGAGATGGTTTAACAACATTCTCGATTGGAAGCTTCTTTGGAGAAGAGCCCTTTAGAGGTTTTCCTAAAAAGCACTACCTTCGATCAAAAGATGTGGTGATCCAGCAATCAATCTCTGGGCCTGTTACAATATCAAGAACTAAACTCAAATCCGCTTCCATATAAAATAAATAAATACATAGGATGCAAAATAAATTACGCTTCATATTTCAGGTAAGTTGGAACTTAGCTAAGATTGATGACCTCCTTACCTTTATCAATCTATGCAACTCAAATACTTGAACAGCAAACACTCTTTGTTGACTGAAAAGGGTGAGAGGGATCAGATCAAGAATGAAGAAAATACAATTTCATGTGGCTTGGCTTTTACAAACATGCAACCAACATGAGATATAAACCTAACATCGATTGACCAGTGATTCACAATCAAGCACCATACGGTACCATCATTTTGAGAAAAAACAAAAACAAAAACAAAAACAAAACAAGAGCATCAATTTAGACCAAATACAAATCTATGAAGGTATAGTAGTAAGAAACTTGAGAACTACTTAAAATTTTTATCTTCTATTTGAGCAGATAACTTTCTTCTATTGTATGTGAAATAGTGTGAATTGCAATAAAGTGACAAGTGTATAAATAAAAACCCCGGGATAATGTCAAGTTCGAAGCTCAAGCCCAGGAATAAAAGGCTTTAAGGCAAAAGCCATTAACCCAATCTCCTTTGGGTAGTCACAGAGCTATTCTTAAAGTGCTTCATACCAATTGGGGCCATGGTTAAAAGAATTCCCAAGAAAACAAGAGGTTAATATCATCATGTCCATATTCAATACAACTTTACATGGAACAACATAAAAAATTTGAAAATATTCACCAAAAACTTGTTTCTCTTCTTCCTCTGAAGCCACAAACTGCTAGAAAAAGTGAGCTTCCCCAAATGTGAAGGGTTGAAATCCAATCAATATGTGAATGAAAATAAAAAATATCCTGAAAGGTAGGAGCAAAATAGAAAATGAATTGAGAATCACCCACCATCTAGCAACTTACCTTGCATAATATACATTAGTTCGAAATGGGTATACGATACTCCACCACCAAAAACCTTCAAGGGCCGCTGAACACAAAAATGTCAATTTGGAGGGAACCCCAGACTCCGCACCTGAGATCTTCCCTCCCTTAAGACCTTATTTCCAAATTTTCAGCTCAAATTGGACAAAATATACCCAACCAAAAGTATTAAAACTCGATATTGCCTTCAACGATCAAATTAAGTTTTGAACTATTAGAAGATGAAAAAGAAATAATCCGAAACATACAAAATAATTGCAGCTTCTAAACTCTACATTAGATGACTACATGTTGTCCCAATACAAGATCACTAATCTTCACCAAGAAATATAAAATACTATCTAAAATATAAGAATAGAAATTACCCAATGTTCCCAATATCACGTGCAATCATCTTACAATACCTCGGCAGGTCTAACCCAAAGATGGGATTAGAAAAGGATTCTATAAGGAATAATTTTGAATCAGCTAGGACAAGACTTCCAAAAATAGCCCTAAAGCAATTCATCCTTTCTAAGTGCTCAACAACCAAGAGATAAATTGAGATGCAGAATATCATGTGAAAGCACTAATGTTTAGAAGATAATTAAGGAAACATTAGTAAACTAGCAATTTTATTTAATTTGATGGAAAAGAAGATAATTCTACAGTGTCTTTCAAAAATCTAGTTCCTTTCTACTACTAGAGTATAATAATTTTTTATTTCTTATCGAAGAAGAAAATATCAAGATAAAAATTGTACACTACTTTTTCAGATTTTATCAAATTAACGTATCTACTGGAGAGAGAGAGAGAGAGAGAGAAAAAAAAAGGAAGCACATATGTGATATTCAAAAATACAACATATTTGAGAAGCTATTTGTAAGCAAAGGAACTTACTTTACTATTGCTCTTCGTGCTTTCCAAAATTGCTTCTGACCTATAATTCCCACAACATCATCAGGGGACATATCCAAGCCTGGTATAGAATCCACCATGGAAGTCTCTGAGGCATCATCCTCTCTGTCCCCTTTTGCTATCTGTAATGACTCACATCTATTGTCTTCGTGATAACCACTTTCAAAAGTGGGGTTATTAGGACTTCCCAGCTCTTCTAGACAAGAATCTCTACTAAGGATGGAAGAATGCCCATTTTCTATGCCCCTCACAGGCTCATCATCCTCCCTATCAATGCCATTAGAATTTTTTCTCTGATCTTGACCTATTTCCAACTGAACAAAGATAGGAACCATAAAATCCTCTTCATCGTGCTCAAGTGGTGTCAATGGGGAGTTAAAATCAGAATAGCCAGCATATGACTTCCCAGCTGGATGTGTTGAACGTTGTAGGTGAGGTGGAAAAAACATACCCTCATGGTTGGTTCCCTACAACAAGAAGTTATTACAAGTGTCAAGCAATTTCTACATGAGTATAGATACGAACAGGCTGACTTTTCTCAAATGTAAACATAGAAGGACAAAAAGACCATGAAGAGTGAAAACTTAATAAAAGAAAAATAAAAATTCCATACTAGAGATGGCATCTAAGACTTGAATAAGCAGTTCAGAGAAGTTTGAGTTTCAAAACTCCATGGATCACAACTATACTAGCTCAAGTTCTTCCCTCATGGAGGGGCAATGCAGGTAATGGGTTCTTCATTTTCCATGAGCCCCTCTTTCTAAATTTTTTTTCCCTGGGTGAACATGATTATTGGAAAACCACTAGTAAATAATAAAGCAACAAACAATAAATTGTTGGGAAAATTTCACTTTGCCCCTCCTGTGGTACACAGGCCATATGCATATAACCCCTATGATTTGTCGACAAAAATACACCGTCACATTTTCAATCCAAATTAACAGGAAGTGCATTACACATTTCCAAACGACATGAATTTTACGTGCCCATAACCTATACCACAACAGTTAAAGTGAAGGGTTTAGTTCAAAAATAAGGAAGAAGACAAGGACAATTAGATTAATTTACAAGTGCCATTGATGGAAATTAGTGGTGCGTTTTAGTCCACAAACCACAAAATGGTGGAATTATATGCACATGGCCTATAGGGCCGAGTGAAGTTTGCCCTAAATTGTTACACCAAATTTCAAACCTATGGTCTGCTCCATTAGGTCAATAACCCCACCTCCACCAAACCAAAAGAAATGATTAAACAGTATACTCCTTTAAACACACAATAGTTATGCAGCAGCCTATTAAAAGCATAAATATGACATAAAACACACAAAATCATTTTTCTTTAATATTCAAACAGTTCCATATACATAAAATTGTGCACCAAAGATGTCAATTACCTCAAACAGAACATTATAGAACCATCACTGAAAGATGCACAAATAAAAGAAACCATGAATTTCAAACAGCAGACCCATTTAAATTCTAGCTCACTACCAACACCACACGACTATCATCGGCAGTAGGATCACTGCTATTGTGCCAACACCACAACCATACCAATACATTGCCGCAAATCACTAGCATTATTTTCAAGATACTAAGAGCATCTCCAATGGTTTGCCATTGGAGATGCCAAAGCCATTTTATAACAGGTGTTAGTGAAAAGTGCTCTCCAATGACAAGTTTTGGCAGCTGTTATCTTTGGCAAATGCCAAAACATGTGTCAAATATGGCACAAGCTTTGGCAGCTGCCAAAGTTGCCAAGTCACCAAAACCAACCGTTTTCCCCTCCCTCCCTCCCTCCCCCTCTCTCTCTCTCTCTCGCTCTCAATTTCTAACCCTGCATCAACACATACCCCAACTACATGACACTTAAAAATCCCGTGTAACAAACCTCCAAAACCTATCAACATCGGCTCGAATTCACGGGAAACGAGATCTTTAAAGCCAAAACGCACTTGTAGAAGCCCAGATTTCACAAACCAAGAATCCAAAATCGAACACTTCTCTTGAACATGATGCTATTTCTCACCGACCCAGTTCAAGAAACATTGTTTATTCACCTGAAATTGATGAAAAATGTGTCAAAGCCCACTTGGAGAAATCCGGAATCAAGCAAACCCAGATCAAAAAAAGCTCCTCTTTCTCAAAACTCAAAGCGATTCCTGAAGAACACACAACAGGGGTATAGTGTTTAGTTCGTTTTAGGGTAAACTAGCAATAATTTACAATAGTTGGACTTAATTTCTATCAAGTCGTGTTGAAAATAAGTCTCGATAAAATTATCGTTAAAAATAATTTTTTTGTGATAATTTTTTATATATATCACTAAAAATTGACAATTAGTAACTTTTATTTTCATAATTTTTATAAATTATCGCTAAAACTTATTATTAGTGACTTTTTTATAATAAATTTTTATCATAAGACCTATTAGACAATAAGTCGACTTATTAGAACTTACACGTAAGTACCCCTTAGTTTTAAGTCTTGTTTGATCTAAAATGTATTTTTTTTCACTTTCTATAAAAACATATGTAAAAAATAAAGAGATGATATGATTTAAAAATGATAAAAAGATAAAAATTTTAAAAAATGTGTTTATATAGTATACGCCAAATAATTTGGGAGTTGTGTTTTGAGTTTTTGAATAATGATTTGAAATGAAAAAAATTATTTGGTCATAACCAAATAATTTTGGAATGTTTGTAATTTTTTTTTTTTTATTGATTGATGTATAGAATGTGAGAGGAGAAAATTTTTATTGATAAATCTCATTAAGGGGTGTTCTAACCCAATAAGTCTAAAAAAAAAATTTATAACCTAATTAGTTCCATATGTTTGTACTTTTATTCCATGAAATTCTTTTTTCCTAGTTTTATATTTTTTTTTGGAACTATATTATACCCTTATATATTATATTGATACATAATATACATAAAAAATGAAATACACGTTGCTGTTTTGTTTGTTAGTGTTATTCATGTTGATGGTTCTGATTCAATTAATCAATGTCGATCGTTTATGGTAGGGTTTCATTGTGGTAGGGTTTCGGTGCAGTGGAGAGAAGACAACGATAGGTTTATGTGCAATGGGAGAGAAGACGACGACGACGAGGAGTTTCTGTCCATAGGTGTGTTCGTTTTCGTAGTTTAGTGTTTGTGTGTGCTCTGGTTTGTTACGTAATTGTTGGAGATCAATCGTTGATCGAAGGTGGAGAACGATTACAAAATTTCTTTCTCAAGGTTAGTATCATTTTGTTTATGAATACATGTTTATTTATGTGAAGGATTGCGTGCTCTGCTTTTGAATCATGTGCATTTTCTATAATACATGGGTAATACAAGTGTATGTTTGATGAATGATGTTTTGATTTTTTACTGATAATGCATGTATATTTTTGTTGTTGGAGTTTCGAATATTTGACAGAGATGCATGTACAGTTATTTGAACAAATTGATTGTGGTGGGTCATTAGTGAAAGGTTGTTTTTGGTTGATTGGTTTATTTTTTCTTATTGTTTTGTGATTGTTTTCATATGATTTTTGTAGTATTCGGTGTATCATCTCTGTTTGGTTAGATAATTTAGATTATGTGAACAATTTTACAATCAACACGTAATAAAAAAAAAATTGATTTAAGATATCATCTTGGAATTTACTAATACATAATACAATAGATAAATTTTTTTTTAATAATACTGTAATTTAGCTGGGTTTTGTTCCAATCACTAGAATGACAACGAACAATTTGTTCAAATGACTTAGAAGTGACTTGTTGAAGGAGGATGCCACCGTAACCAACATCAGAGGCATCAGTTTGAATAATCTTAAAAGAATTCTCAGTAAGAATACCAAGATAAGTGTGACACTTTTGTTTTTGGGTCCGCTCGAGCGTCAAAAGATGTGCTCGAGAGGAAAATCTTAACTCTCAGTATCCTTTGAGTTTGCAGGCGGGACGCTCGAGCACAAGAAGTGGTGTTCGAGCGGAGAATGTTGGCTCCCAATAGTTCTTCTGTAACTCTGTAAAACTACTAGAACTTGTCATTTTATGCTCGAGCGAGGGATTCATTGCTCGAGCAGGCCTCTTAGTTTGTGTCTTACGCTCGAGCGGACTGCGCGGACTCAGCAACTTTAAAAACGTGATGCTAAATCTTTCCTTCCACTTTTCATTTCTATCTTCCCTCTCCTCACCCCTTTTTCAAAAAACCCTAGTTTCTCACTCTAAAATACCTCCCATTCCATTAAGATTTGGCTTAGATCATCTAGCTAAAAGTTCTGTAAAACTACTAGAACTTGTCATTTTACGCTCGAGTGAGGGATTCATTGCTCGAGCAGGCCTCTTAGTTTGTGTCTTACGCTCGAGCAGACTGCGCGGACTCAGCAACTTTAAAAACGTGATGCTAAATCTTTCCTTCCACTTTTCATTTCTATCTTCCCTCTCCTCACCCCTTTTTCAAAAAACCCTAGTTTCTCACTCTAAAATACCTCCCATTCCATTAAGATTTGGCTTAGATCATCTAGCTAAAAGTGAAGAACACTTGGAGATCTTACTCTCCCGCCGATTGGATCTTGATTTTGCGAAGGATTCTTCAAGGGTCTTCATTTTCTTCATATTTGTAGAGGTAGGGATACTTTTACCCTAGTATTTCTTTATTTTGAATGGATTTCATGGTGTGGTTGTGATTTATGAGCCAATTTGAAGATATTATTGGATTGTTCCTATGTTCCACATAAGAAACCATTTTATTTGACACTTGTTTGAAACTTCTTATACTCTCCTCTCAAAACATGTATATAAATATTGTTGGAACCCATTTCTTTGATAAACAAGACAAACCCCCAAATTTGGTAGAGCCCTAAATTTTCAATTTGAGTTAAAGACCCTAAATTGAATGAAATTTCCTTTAACTCATGGAATGTTGTGAACAATAAAGATATGAGGAGATTGTTATAGTAGATGAATTGAGGCTTGGATGTCATTTTCTTTAAAATGTGGTGTTGTATTCCATTCGTTGATAATGTTAGATGCTTGTTGATTGAATTAAAATGTGATTGAATTGTTGATTGTGCATGAGTCCGGGTAAGAGTCACTTTTGAAAATGTGGTGTTGTGTTGGTACCGTGCGGGGAGTTTAAAAGGTACCAAATTGCCCTGTCTAGGCTTATCGCTGGACGAATGTGGGAAAAATGATTTTTGGGTGTCCACACAGTCTCGCCGTATAATAGCCAGCAAAAGTGGAAAAACTGATGGTTTTCTTTGGGTGCCCACTCCCTGCCATATAATAGCCGGCAAATGTGGGGTTGGTTTTAAAACAAAGGCAAAGAGTGTTTTGAGTTGGACTCTTATAGGCGGACTCTTGGTTTGTCTTCCATGGTTGTGATCATTTATGTGTGGTACTTGATGACATGAATTGTGTGGTGCCTGACGGTGTGAATTATAATTTATCACTCTTGAGTCATTTTGTATCACTATGATTGATTAAAGCCATTTGTGGAGATAAATTTTCCCTGTTCTATTTTGTCACAAAGATACCATAATCCACTTTGAAAAGATTAAATACTTGGTTAAATGTATTCCTATTGGGCATATAGCTCAACCCTATGTTATTTTTCAAGAATTAACGAAGCACCACCCCCTTGATGGATAGGATCCAGTTGTAGCTCTTTTTTAGATGAAGTTGACTCAAGTGTATTTTGATATTTTGAATTGGGATTTTGTAACAAGACTATCAAGTTCGTTTGTTGTTGTTGTATGCCCTAGAGGCTTATAATTTGTAAGACCATCTAATTCATTGAACTTGCATATGAATCATGAATCTTGGGAAGTTGTACGTGGTGAAATGTAATCTTTTGATGTTTAGTTCAATGAAAAAGATGACTTTTGAGCATGTTCTTATGTTTGTCTTGGCTAATCCTCGTGTGAATTTCTAGGGCGTTACAAATGGTATTAGAGCTTAGGTTTGAATACGACCGGGACATAACCGGACATTCGGGTGGACATCCGGGCAGATGACCACCACAAACAAAACTCCATCTGGGACATCCGGGTGGACAACCACTCTATATGAATCAGTTCTACAACGATTATTTTTCAAAGGTCAACTTTGTAACGGCTAGCTGATTCGCACCCATCTTCCAGCAAGCAAAACTCACATAGGCTAGAGACAAAGGCTTGCATTGATTATATATATTATCTCACCATCACTTCAATGGGAAGAAAACAAGCATACGTTAGAGCTCTAAACTCTATTATATATAGAGAGAGAGACAGCTCTGATGTGAAAAGCAAATATAGAAAGATGAACAACAAACCAAAAATTTCTTATTCTTTATCAATCACATATTCCATCTTCTCTGAGCTATCTGAAGAGGTCTCACTCTTTATTTCATCAATCATTCAGCAAACATACACTGAGCTTTAGCCTTAAGCTTATTTTCCTTTGAGAGGTTTTATAGAAAAATCTGAGAGCTTCA